AATTAAAGCTGACTAAGGTGTAAAAATTGTTAAAAAAAAGTTTGAAAAACAGAACCTTAGACAAAGAATATGCAAAGCAAAGTTCCGTCCTGGGCCTTGTGGTGTCTTGGTCTCATTATTTAGAGATAACAATGAATTCACTGACTAGGGGATAGATGTACTAAAAACAGGGTGTTTTTTTCCTTAAGCCAAGGAGACACAGATAGTTTGAAATGGCAATCTCTTGTGCTATATGAAATAAATATTACAAATGGAAAGGAAAGAGCAAACTGATTACCCTAATATTAAGAGCATCAAGAGGAATTTATAAATATCCTTGCATGTTCAGCACCCAGTCCTGCACAGGGCATGTTAATTCTTGYCACAGAATTTGAAATTCATTTAATCAGAAGAGAGCCTTTGAAATGTTTCACACCTGCAAATGTATCAAGTGGCTAAACTTTACAGTCATTCTCCATGATATGACCTATATATCTCATTACAACGCAGTGYTCACTACAGGTGCTTCCTACAAGAACATTTGCATGAATAAAACCATGATTACTCTCATATTTAGTGAATGTTAAAAAGTGTGCTACATACAGATGTAATACCTCATATGGGTTGTCATTTACATTTATTCTTAATTCAGGGTAATATTTAATATCAATGGTTAAAGGACAGTTCAACATTTCCACTCTTAAATATTCCCTTTTTTTAAAGGATGAATTGATGGTATCTTATGTATAAGCAGAATGCTTTCATTAAATAGGGAAAAAAATTCTGTGGATAGATGAAAACCAGTTTTAAAACYTGTTTTATATTTTAGACAATGAAAAACCTGTATCCACCTAAATGCTTTGCAGTGTTAACTATTTCTGATTGCTTAATGGTGACTGCTTTAATGATGATTGCTCAGTACCCATACAAATGTTTAGGCACCAGGTAATATCTTGTTTGTGTGAATATAATCTGAAGGCTGCTGCAACATCTAATAAAACTGTTTCCACTGAGAGAGKCATATAGGCAGGAATAAAAGGCTGTTAAAGCATATAGCATCCAAAAAGAAATTYTCTGCAGCCAGTAATGAACAAACACATCTTTTATTCAGCTTCTGATAAATTTGTTGTGCTGTTTATAAAAGTATGATTCAATGCCTCTCACATATATTGTAGTATATAGGTACATTTCAACTTGAAATGTACTATAACTGGTCTTACTGCTGCTACATCTTCCTTAAAAATATTCCCAAAAATAACTCAGAAGGGAGTAGAGCAGGACAAAGTGTCCAGATCTGTATATATTTGCATATCAGGACTTTTACAGCTTCATATCTTCAGTGCATCTTGCKAGGAAAACCCCTAGTGCTGTCTCCAAGTTCACTAGTGGTACTTTTGGGGCTAATCAGCAAGGTTTTAATGAAAAACCTTTGTCCTCTAGTGTCTCAGGTTCAGGTCAAGCCAACCTCTCCATGTAAGCATTATGCCAGTGATGCAAGATCCCACTTAAATAAATCATCTTCACAAGTCACATAACAAGGCATAGATGGTGATGGGGAATTTTTTTTCACAGCAAACAATTGTACYCACACATCTGCATGTAAGTGCATCTGCATTTAGATACGTGCACATATGTCTAGGTATTAAACAAAATTATCTGCTTCTTACATGTGTTAGTTTTAATATGTTTTCACAGTAAATGGAAGCAACAACAGCTATTAGTTATTCAGCAATTGAGATTAATGCAGTGTTCTTCAACATTTGGAACACAGAAGAAGTATAATAATTAGATAGGTGTGAGATTTGAGAATCTCCAGAGTGTGGACTAACTACTTAGTGCAGTATACAGAAATTGGATGTAATTGTACACATATATGCTTAATTGTTTTTTTCTCTTTCTAGTGAGGCAAAGACACTGCAGTCCCCACAGGAGAATTCTTTTTCCCTAGTATGTTCAACTATTTTTAGCATTCCTCAGTGGTGCACCGAAAAGGAGAATTATTTTMTCTCTGTGGGGGCCTGTGAATTTCATGCAATGTGGGCTTCTGTGAACAGAGTTCAAAATGTATTAGAAAAAACAGGTTAATTTTTACAGTAAGAGGTTGAAATACTGAACTGCCCTACTGTGGCAGTGTGAAGCATCCCACAGATAACGGTGGGGGACCGAACTCCTAAGAGCTACACAGAATATAATACTATTTACTGTTTTAATTGTGGGCAAGAGCTTTATTCCTTTGTTGGAATTTGTAGTGCCCCTTAAAGTAGAAATAGGGTAATACTTCAAAATCTGTTTAACATATTTAATATCCTTAATTTGATGTTTTTACTTTCAGATTTGTTTGTATTCAAAATAGCAGTAATTGGCAGCTGAAGTTGAATCATAGCATCTGGGTTCTAGTCTATTCATGACATCAGTATATTTTTACTGCTTGTAAACATGCCCTCAGATAATCACAAAATGTCACAGAATTTCAATAACTAGAAAAAGCAGAGAGAATTTATGCTGCCATTGCTCCAAACATTGCATGCAGTTTGCGCTGATAGTGGGGATTGAGACAAACTGGCCCAGAGGAAAGGCAAGAGCAGGACTTCTTATTCCTTCTCTTCCACCTTATTCTGTAGTCCTTCTGACAATAAATTACATTTAATCCTGTAAGGGTCATACTCTGGGGACTGAAAGATACTATTCTTATAGTGCGGACTAATAAATTTATTGTTTTGGGGCTATAGGCATTTTTTCCCCCCAAATCCTTTTTCAATTTATGAAGAACATTTACATTGTAAACCTCAAAGCAAATATGTACAATTATTCAGACCTACACATGTACTAAGCACAGGTCCTAKCTGGCAATTTAAAGGGGAGCCAGGAAAGCCAGCAGCCCCATAGACCATGGAGTCCAAACTCCTTSATGGAAAGAGGCAAAATCCTAGCACCACAGCAGTCTATACTTCAGGCCATGAAGAGTCCCAAAAGAACTACTTCTGAAAACCTGCTAAATACCCTGAAATGTGAAAACTCAAAAYACTAAAAAGTTAGTCTTTAGGAGACACTATCAAAGGGATGGTGCAATGCATGATGCAAAATAAACAAAAGTCTTGTCTGAATAATTGTAAGGTTTACACCTGAGATCTGATCTTGTAGCCAGATCTCAGCTGGGAAGAGGAAATTATATTGGTATCCAGAGTAAATGTGAATACCTCTTGATTATGGCGTAAAGAGAGTACTGGAAACCATGGCCTAGAAGTCCAAGTATCATACAGAAGTTTGAAATTTTCCCTTGTGGTTTCTATCCTTGGAACACGGCAAGTTATTAGGCTTAAAATACAAATACAAATACAAATACAAATACAAATACAAATACAAATACAAATACTAATACTAATACTAATACTAATGCTACTACAACTAATAATAGTAATAAATCTATTTTAGGTCACTTTTAGAAACCTTTATGAAATACCATGCTTCTATCTGCAAGTGGGCACTTAAGAGACAGTATTCATTGCCAGTAATTCCTTAAGAATTATAATCTCTAAAAAATATTTTGAAACAAAAATATATAAAAATATGCATTTAAAACCATTACACTTTTCCATTTCAATTTCTTACCTAGGATAAATGTTATCATGATGAAGGACATCAGCCCAGGTCCATACTTCCTCCCTAATTATTTGTGGAGAGGGTGCTCACTAAGAAAGGTAGTAAATGATTAATTTTATGTGTAGTTTCCTTCATTCAATGAAAATCTGGTTAAGTTTTCCCTAAAGGAGTATTTTAAAAGAAAATTGAAAAAAAAAAGCATCTTTTGGACTTGGAACTCACCATTATTTCCACAAAATCATCAAGAGCTCTTAATATATTGATGAACATGTGTTGACAACATTAGCTATAAAAGCCCTTTGAGATTTGCTGGGAAAAAGGAGTCCTCCAGATTCAAGTAAAACTCACTGCTTTGCTAGCCCAGCGTGAGGAATTCCTGATTCCCCACTTGTCTGCTGTGTTTAAATATTATAACTCAAATATGCTTACATAAAAGCTTATTGATTGGAAGAATCACTTGCTTTTTGTGCATTAGTTAATCAGGCTGCTGTTTTGAAATCTGTCCAGRAACCCACAGTGGAACCTTTCCTAATCCATCTGTTTAAGTCTCAAATGGTTTCACTGCTCTACTCACTTACCAGCACTGCTGGAATGTTAGTGCTTTATGATTAAAGGATATTGTTGTTCTTTTCATCCATCATCCTGGAGCTTGCTATTAATAATACAGTTTTCTTTCTTTCTTTCTTTCTTTCTTTCTTTCTTTCTTTCTTTCTTTCTTTCTTTCTTTCTTTCTTTCTTTCTTTCTTTCTTTCTTTCTTTCCTTTCTTTGCTTTCTTTCTTTCTCTTTCTTTCTTTCTCTCTCTCTTTCTCTCTTTCTCTCTTTCTCTCTCTTTCTTTCCTTCCTTCCTTCTTCTTTCTTTCTTTATGTTTCCTCCGAAAAGCTGCTTAGATTTTCTGTTCTTTTCTGTTTTGCTTTATTCAGATCAGTTAATTTCAGTAACAAAGGTGGACAAAAAATGCATCAGTGCTTTCTGGAAAATATGCATTGCCTTGCAATATTTCAAAACTGAATGGGGGAAAGACAAAAGAAAATTAAGCTGAATGTGAGAGAGGGAAAGGTGGAATTGCAATTGAAGACATCACACTATACAGAACCCTCTGTGACTCCAGAAACATGMATGAATTATTGCTTTGTACTCATAGTAATGTCTTAAAGCACTTTTTTCAGCATGTRTTTGTGATTAAATTATATTATGGGGAAAAATCTGAGATTTAATTTTTACTCGGGTTTATACTACAGCATGTGAAAAAAAAAGCCCACTGCACTTCTCTGAAATAGATGAGCTACATTTGGATATAACTGTTGATCAGTGACATTTCGAACAATATTATGAAACTTCTTGATTTTTCTCTCTCTCTCCAACGGAAAAGGGACTTAAATTAAGAAAACAATAAGGATTTTATTTTTTTTTCCTTTATAGGTGGATAAGAGTCATGGATGYTAAAGGAGACATTAATCAGGCTGTTGTGAAAGATCTGATACCAGCTTTGGTCAAAGGGGACGAGTGTCATCCTGAGAGTGCTCCTCTCTGGGACAGGAAACCGACGGAGCGAAGCCCTGAGAACATGCCGTGACACTTCATATTCAATCCACAGCCCTATAAAGAGATGAAAAATGAGCCTTGTCCAAAGCTCTTACCTCAGCACCCAGTGGCAAAAATAAAATGTGAGCTTGGGACCAGGTCTCTTTGAAGCTGATTTTTTCTATTTTTTTTTTAAACTCTCCAACAGGCCTCTGGTGGTTACAGGTATTGATCGTCAGAAAGTAATCTGTTCAGGTTTGGGGGCATGCCAAACCGAATCCTGGAGTATGTTCCTTCCTCTCCAAGGACACGTTGAGCTTTTTATACTGTCCACACTGTCTTGCTTGTCAGCTGGCTAGCTTCTTTGTCTTTACTGCTTTCCCTGTTTGTGGAAAACATATAATTAAATCTTCCTTGGAAAAATAGTATGCATTACTACCCTAGAATTTTCTGCCAGKGCTGAAGGTTTTTTACCCCATTTTTTTAACCCTCATTTTTCTTCTATAATCATTATTTGATTCCCTCTGGCTGCCTGCTACTTATTTGTAGTAGTACCATTCATCCATTGAGACTTTTCCATCTGTCACACAGTTTTGCTTTCTCTCCCCAGAAGCTTTCTTCTCCTACTGTGCCATGCTTGATTTTTTGGGTTTAGTTGCATGTTTGCGTGCTCTTTTTAGTATTTTAAAAAATGTTTCAGTATTCTGAACAAATACATCAAGAAGAGAAAAAAAAAAACCCAACATAGCATTGAAATCCAGCACTGTGCATGGAGACTGGATGAGGAGACTGAGATTCCTGGTGAATTAAGGAATCAACACATAGAGCCAGGGCAGAACTAGTGGCCAGAACTTGCTCTCTCTGAATTGTTTTCATTGCCTTCAAAATCCTTCCAGTTTTGTGCTGGATAAATAGGTGATGTCAGGAAATGTTGTATTCCCTTTGCTGTACTGACTCCCTTTGGTGTATTGATTAAAAAGACTGTCTGAGGAATACCAAATGTACTGAGGTACAATACTGGGATTACTTAATGAAAAARAATGCTTCAAAGTACAGTACACACTTACTAAAATAAGATCGTGGTCATATGCTACATTTAAAATTAAATGAACATTTTTTGTTTGCAGAAGGTAGACATTAAAGAAGTGCAGCCCTTGCTGGTGTTTCCCAGGTGAAATGCAGGATGGGYTAAAGCCAGCAGCACAACCCTACAGAATTACTGGGTTTTTTTCTGCATGTGTCCTCTGCCTCTATTATGATCTAAATAGGGAGTGTGTCAAGCAAATCTTAGTTTTTGATGTAAGCAATAGGACATCTTACAGCTGCCCTACATATCACTTGCAATTGAATCAAATCTAAAATCTTTTGTCTTGGAGAACAACTCACAAAATGACCTGCGTCCAATAATACATTTTGAATATCTCTTTATTAATTTTCTCTTCTTTTCCTTTTATACTTTTCATTGTATCTTCTTATGCTCTTGTTTCAAAAGCTCCTGCAAGTTTATCATGATTATTAAGATTAGTAAAAGTGTGTGTTGTGTTCTGAATTTTTCTTTTCCAGTAGAAATGCTTCCACTGTTTATAAAATGATTTCTGTGGCTGTATAGAAAGTGCTGATAATCTCCAAACACAAAAGCTGTGAGTGTGTCCTTATTTGAATGGCAATCCCCAGAAAGCTTCCTTTGCTACCAGCCATTTCATTGCTCTGTTCTGGGAATGAAGTGGGTGGAAAAAAAAAATCAGGRTCTTCAGATGTCTGGACAGATGTCTGAAAATGTAGGTATTTTACAAAAATCCCATTTGTAAAGTGTTGTCCTGTGAAAGTAACAGTCATTCAGAACCTGAACTTTTGTGGTTGCCTTGCAAAGGAAAATAAAAGATTACTTTTCTGGAATAAGTTATGAAAATAAAATGCAAGGAAATGAGTGAGAAGGCAAAAGGGAAAGGAATGTGAGAGAGACAAACATCTCCTTCAGTCCCTCCTGACCACTGAAATCTTTTCTGTGTTTCTTCTCAAGAATAAATGATTAAAAAATAATAAGGGTGAAAGAGGTTTTTTTTTGCATGTGTGTGTGTAATCACAAATTTGATGGTCCCACTCTAGGACCAATGTATGCCTGTATCATTCAAGTTTGTCCTGCCTGCTCTGGAAGACCCTCAGTGGGTGAAATTTCACTGTGAAAGATAGTCCAGTCCAGAGCTTTATTAAAATCACTTTTTCTTTCAGAAAATTAAGTCTATTACTTTTTTTTTTTTTAAATCCTAAATGTATTAAGCAAATATAYAATTATCTTCTACACTTTAGCCATTGCTCAAATGCCTCCATTTCCTTTGTTTAAGGTTAAACAGGCCCAGTTCCTCAGGTTTTCCTCACAGGCCAGATGATTTACCTTTGACTCCAGCTGGTCCTTTGCAACACGAGGGCTCAGAGGTACAAACCTTCAGATGACTCTTCCTGGGCTGCACAGATAGATTATTTCATTTGCCTTGCAGGTGTTGCTAGGTTTTCCCTTGTAGCCTCATCACATTCTTTGACACTTTTTTGAGATTATTCTTAAATTTCTATTCATTAGTTTGTGTGTACTGCAAAATTAAGTATTTTTGGGTGGCRGTATGATGAAAGAAGTAGGGCAGGGTCCTTACAGCTATGAAACCCAGAAACAACCCAGCTGGTGGACATGGCAAACCAAATAAATGGCCTGCATGGTCTTTGAGTTCATTTTTGGTTGTTCTGTGAGGAGCAGGGGGTTGGATTCCATGATCCTTATGGGGCCCTTCCAAATCAAGATATTCTGTTCTGTGGACCCATGAGGGGTTGCCAACATCAGTGGGAATCTCTACATGTGTAGAGAGTCCCATGACTCATAGAGTCAGGAGCTTGGTGTGACAAGTTTGCTATTGGCCCTGTTGTGAAACTTTATTTTTTTAATGCCCACCTGTGTAAAGTTAATGAAATGGAGAGGACAAAGGAGTAGAGAGAGATTATTGCTCAACCTAGAGAAACYACCACAGGATGAAGGAATTTCACTATGCACTGGGCTTCTATAGTCTTGGTAAGAATTGAAAAAAAATTAAAGTGATGACTGCACTCCAAAGAGCTGGTTTTTTTTGTTTTTTTTTTTTAAATACAAACTTTAACAATTCTAAATCTACACCGGTGTCTAAAATTGACCCAGGTGATGGGTCAATTRACTCAGGGAGGAGTCTGGACACCAGAAGGACTGTATGTATCTTCAAGTGTATTATCATGCAGGCTGCTTTTCATGTGAGGAASTTATTTCTAAGTTTCTATTTTTCAGTAGGTTTGTGTACAATCTTTTGTGTACAGCACTACTCTGAAAATCTAGGATGTCTTTGTGGCTAATACTTTTTGTCTTTTTCTTTTACAATGAACTGGAGCAGTTCTACCTGTTAATTGAAGGTTTTCTTTTAAAGCTACTGCTTGTTTTTCTCCTTCCTGCTTCATGCCATCACTTTAAGATTTCAGAGCCATAGACCAGAGTGCTTGTGTTAAATGAATATATTTGACAGGAGTTAAGTCTTTTGGGCATTGCAATAGGTTTTCCTCATCTTGGCATGTGAAGACTGAGAGTGTTCTTTGACACCAGCAGCAGAGGATGTGAGCACAGCAACTTTYAGGGCATCAGAAGTGTCAGCATAAGGAAAAATCAGCAAAAGTAGACAGTGTTGAGGTAATTTTCCCACACCGTGCCATGAATTTAGCCAACTGGTGCTCCTGTGAATTCTGGGCTGACAGAGTTTCCTTCTTTGTTGCTAAATATCACATAAAGTGTTCTGTCAGCATCAAGACTTGTTCACTCCCCTTATGTAGTAAAATAAAAATATAATCCTTATGCTCATGTTTGAAATCTGAGCATAAGTTAAAGGAAGAAAAATAGTAAACCTTTCCAATAGGCCAAACTTCATTTTGGAGGTTCATTTTTCAGAACATCATGTAGTCAATGCTGTTGAGAAGAGCTGAAGGCGAAAGATATGTAGGGCACAAGTACTAAAAATTGAAAATCTTTCTCCCATTAAAATGCATGGGATTTCTGCCAGTTACCATAGACATCAGTGGCAGCAACATCCTGCTATTTTCTCCTATTTTTACTTTCTATTTTCCTCATATTTTTATTTATTTTTGAATCATGAGAAAATGAAGTAAAACACACATTACTGGAATGGTTTCCATGTTGTATATCAAAAATTTACTAATGTTATTAGGATTAAAATGATTTAGTTATGTTCCAAATTTCATARTGATAATTAGAACCTATGGTCAGGAAGATAGGTAGTTATAGTTAGGTTAGAGACATCTGATCTCGTGAGTACTGATAAATATGATTATTGGTCTGAGTTTTGCTKCACCCAGCTGGGTTTAACTAAGGTCCTTGAAGGCAAAAGTGAAAGGCTGGGCTCTCTTTCTGTGTGGCACAAACATCAGATGAGAAAATGAAAGCTCTGAGTCACCAGAGAGCTTCCAATTTTAGCATGGCTGTGAAAAGAAAGATTTCTGCACCTGAAGAGTTTTGCATACATGCATTACTGACAAAGTATGACTGCACATTTGTTTGCACAGTACCACTTCTTCTGCTTTTCTTGTTCTATTTTAAATTTCTAGCCTCTTCAGTGGTGGTATTTTGCATGCAATCTGGATATAGTATCGTTGCTCTAATATGTGCCACAACCTTGAAATGAAGGSAACCATTGCAAAAAGGAGCTGCAAAAGTTGGCCTTTTAAGAAATTTCCTCTGCCTTTCAATGTCCCACAAATGTTTCCAGATCAGAATTAGTGCTGCTTCTTTTCCTGCTTCAGCAGCTGAGGTGCTTAGAGAGGTTGTCTGTCCTTCACCCTCCATCCCAGCCCCCACCTGTGGGAYGGATTGATGYCCWGAAGTTTCCTCTCTGTCGGGATTTGTCACTGCCGCTGCCAAGAGCAAAATGCGGGTGCTAGGCTGAGGAATCCAGATGTTGACAATAACCTGGCTGTCTTCCCTGGGAACTTCTGAGTGGCTATTTCTATAAATACATCTCAGTTTCTATACARCTTTATTCAGGAAAAGTATTGACTGAAAAGTGTCAGGAAACAGAAAGACCTTGGCTGTACTCAGAGGAGTAAAGGTTCAGAGTTGGGAATAACTTTACTCAGTATGGAAAGAAGGCTCTTAGTGTGTTTTTCTCAGGTGTCTGGCCGTTGCCTAGATATCAATCTTTGACACTTGTATTTATCAAAATAAAGAATGGCCTGCTATAACAAAAGAGGGATCCTGAGTTTCCCCTTTCACTTCTCTTTCAGTCAGTGCTGCTCTGCAACTCTTATATAAATGGATTCATTTCAACTCAAAATGTTATATGTTTTCTTTCCCTCAAGGTGTTAATGTTTTTATGTTAAAAAAAAAGGCTTTAAAAATATCTTCTTGTCCTTTTGATCTCTAATAAAAATGTCATGATTTTTCTCATTTTATTTAAAAACATGAAATTCACATGGATTTATWGTGTGAATTGATTAAGAAAAAACAAGGAACCTAGATAACATATTCCTGGAAAACTTAATTTCCTAAAAGTACAATATTTTCTCTAYCTTATAAATATTATACAGGATCAGACCTTGAAAGTAAATAAAATGTAATTACTATTGATGCTTTATGTGATGTTCAGCATCTTTAAATGATAATACAGGATTAAATCTTTGTATAAACTAAARTAGCCTGAGTAATTTCACCTTAATTAGTGTGTCTTTTGTTTGTGTAACAACCTATGCTGATTTTTTTAAAAGCAAGTTAAATACATGGAGTAAAACAAGCTGCAAGCACACAAGTTTAAGGTTGATTAACACAGCCCTTATGGTGCTTCTCATTTGTTTTTTTCCGTATGGAAAAAAAAAAGGTCAGTAGAGAAGACTGGAGACATCAGATCTGAATGGTAGGTCACTGTAAAATGTGTGGAAAACCACAAACCGTGGTAAATTGTTGGTATCATTTCTGGCAAAATAAAAGGATACKTTAAAGTTTCTTTGCTCACAGTGTAATCAATTTTGAGACAGCATGTTCAGTTTAGGGCCAGAAATTACTCAGCCATGTCCATTCCCATCCCCCCCCTTTTTTTTTTTTTTTTTTGGTCACTGATAAAACTGTAACTAGGTTTTCTGGGAAAGTACATCATCCAGTGCTTCCCCACGTCTTTCCTTGAAGTATTTCTTTTGTCTGTCTCCATTACACCCGTGTGCAGTGACACAATGTTTCTGCACAGTGGGAGCTTGCAATCTCTGAAGAGGCTTTCCAGCATTGCTTTTTAGACTGAAATCATTACAATCTTCAATAGGTACTTGGATTTGAAAAACTAGCACATTATTATTCTCTGGACTGTCTGGATGTAAAAAGAGGCTATTTTCTTGCTTCCTTTTATTTATTTATGTCCCTGGGTACACATTGCCCTTACACCTAACTTTAGTTTGTTTGGATCTCAATCGGAGCTGCAATTCAGATGTCTTGTGCTGTTTGTGTTTTTCTTTCATGTAAGGTTTTACATTATAAATGAGAACTCTGTCAGAGAGATTTATATTTCGTTTCTACTTAATGCTTTTGCGTTGCACATCCTTTTTTGYATGTGTAATTATCATAGTTATTATTATCACTAACACGGCACAGCATATTGTACGGTGTGGTACAATAAATGTTACAATGTGCAGCATAACAGATGTTTGTTAATATGTCTATGATTTTTAAATGCCAACAAGTTGCATAGCTGCAGAGGACATTCGAGTTACCTCATCTGATATCCTCTAAACCACAAGCTGCATCTGTTGTACTGGTAAAACATTATCCTGAGCTCAGGGACTCTGGTTGGGTTAATTTGTCATGGGACACAACAGTTGTTTCCTCTAGAAAGAGATCAGGATTCCACCAGCACCTGAGGACTGTGTTGTGTGCAGAAATGG